ATTAGAAAGCACTTGCATAGAAAAAAAAGTATTGACATGAATGGATGGAATAGTCAAGTTGTATAAAATGTTCTGATAGAGTAGAAAAGCACTATATATAAGAACATGTCCCTCCATTTCTTTATATAAGGAAACACATTTTTCTCCAGGCGAAGCAGAAAAAGTTGTAAGAGTGAACCCTGCACCTCTAAGGCTTCATTTAGATTTCTGCCAGTAATCTACATTGTAACATTGTAACAGGAAACCCTACATCATGAGCTTCGACGTAACCCGAACTGCAGCACCTGAGAAATGTGACTACATGTCGGGTTGACGTGGCCCCAACTGTTGTGATCGACCATCTTCCTCCTGTGCACTTCTGGCTTCTTTTATCTGCAGCTTTATCAGTGAGAGAATAATCAAGCTACGGTTAAACAAGGTTAGCCTGCACTGTTCCATGTAGTGTTTTGGTTTCTTTACATTCATTTTTTGTTTTATTATAATGTTGAATCTTTTGTGGCTTGTTTTATAAAAGTGTAATTAGACTAAAAAGGTAGAAATAAAAATGTATATTGTTACAAATGTAAACAACAATAATAACAATGTTAGTAACAATATTAGTAGTAGTAGGATTTATTTTAAAGACTTGCGTTTAAATTGAGAAGGCAGCCAGGTTAACATTTGCTCACATGCATGATCAGAGGGACTGTTTCTAAAGCACAAATAGATTCTGGTATGAAATATTGATAAATCGCTGATTTATGCTTGAAACGCTTTAATACATGACTTGACCACAGATTTGTGGTTGTCATTGGTCTTTCATCAGCCTTTCTGTTTTACAGATTTAAACCCCATGACTCAGATTTTGCCATCTTAAGGTCCATCGACTAGAAGTAAATATGCATAAAGATAAAGGCTTATGAAAAAGAAAATGATTCATCCAGTTTCTTCAGTTCCACTCAGCATTTCATAAACAGTCCTTACAGCACCAATCCCAAAAAGTTGATTCAGACTGAAGACGTCACTTGGATAAGAGACAAAACATCCAGATGACTAGAATCACCTTTTTGGGATTTCCTAACCTGGATGATCGAGCATGCATTAAGACATTACAGGACTAACCCACAACGTCCTTACTTTTATGAAGTGCTTTGAGTGCTCCGGGAAAGCAGAAAGGTGCATTTACCAGACCTTTTACCAGCCTGTTCCAAAGTAGGCTCCTTTTATTGACAGTCTTTGGTCTGATTTTTTTCAGCTCAGTTCTCATTAACACTGAACTGTAACTTTATAATGTCAAAACCTGAACTTTGTAAAACACAAAAAGAAACGTCATGATTTATTTTAACATTAGGTAGTCAGCTTATCTATAATAGAAAACAGTAGGTTGATGGTTGGTAGCACTGAGAAGATTGCAATTCGAAATCTTTCATGAAGCTCCACCTAAACGAACAGCATGATGAGAAACAAAGTGTCCTGTAACACATGAGCTAAAAGTCCAGTATTGAGACACCCTGACATGAACAAAGGTGTACTGCAGTAAATATAACAAGACAACATATCAGAAATGAACATATAAACTGATTAAATACAGCAACACACCCATTCCTGGCAGCAAGATGCAGAGGGGTGCAGCCTGAGATGTCCTGATAGTTTGGATTGGCTCCTCTCTTTAGCAGCAGCACCAGACACTCCAATGAGCCACAGCTGTACACAGAAAACAGCGTATTTAGTGCAGAACAACAGACTAGGCAACTCTCTGCATGTACACTGAATGAGAGACTGTTTGTCATCTGTTTGACAAACTTGTGATTGTGGTACGTTACTTTTTTAGATCTTTTTCACTCTGTCAGAACGACTCATGATTTAAGAAGGAGGACAAAGTTGTTTGGACTTTATAAATTATAAATTAAGAGGGGAAAATACTTTTTCACTGCACTGTATTTCACTGAGCAAGCACCATTACTAGGAAATGTGCAGACATAAAGTGGGAACTACTTATGGCCTTGGTGTTACTTTTTGATTCCACTAAATGCTTACCAGAGACTGAACCAGTGACAGCAAGCTGGACAGGTTTCTGCTAGCATCACATTAACAGGACTTACAGCACAACTTATTCCACAGTTTAGAGTTTATTTTGAAACAGAAATCGTTTAAAAAGGACTACTTTAAAGAACTCTTTGAAAATATTCAGCAAAGTAAGTAACTACGAATTGAATGTCACAGTTACATTTGCGATTACAGCTGTAAAGTCTCTCTTACTTGGCTGCGATGTGTAGCAGACTCCTCTTCACTCGTCCAAAAGCATAATTCACATCAAACTTGGAGTTGAGCAGCAACTCTGACACTGATCTGAGGGAGGAGTGAACATGTAAAAACATAATAACAATAATAATCCTTCTGCAGCCGTAGATTAGATGTGCAGTGGCAAGTATACTACTGCCTAAAGTAAGCAGACATACCATAATATACGTTTCCATCTAATGCACAGTGAGCCAAAACGAGCACATAAATAAAAGTGAATGAATTAGTGATGAGTACAGTCTGCTCCACGTGTACCTGTGCTGGTCTGCCATGACCATTGGCATGAGTGTGTACACCGCTGTCTCATTGTCTGTGGTGAAAATAATGCAGAAAATATCAGTGAAAGCTAACACCTGACAAAGACATTACGATTTATTAGCAACGATTCATCAAGTGATTTGAATGACTTGATTACAAAAATCAATTGTTTCCTACTGGAAAATGGGTAAAAGGAACTTTATTTGATGTCTTAGTTTAATTGCATGTATACCTTTTTATGTGACATTACTGTACTGAGACCGTTTATTTGTTTTCTCATTTAGTACAACATTTACTTGAAAAGCTTTCGTTTTAATATGACGTGTAACATACCAGGGGAACACCACTGGAGGGATAAAACAATCCTTCCAAAAACATTCACTTGTGTCTAACACAGTCCAACATGTCCCAGAGGAGTTGAGCTGGGCTGGAATTAGGTGACTGAAACCATTAGCACATGACCGACATCGTTTTCATCCTCGTGGAACCGTTTAGCCTCGACAGGCTCGGCGTCAGCTGTCATTGCTCACGTTAAAGCTAGGAAAGGTGAGTGATATTCCATCATGAACAACAAAAAAGGTTT